GTTTGGAATTAACCAATTAGAGTATAGGGATTTTTAATTGCAACTAGTTGATTATAATTAAAACAACTAATCGATTGAAAAAATTTTGATCAACTAAGATCACTATCTGTTGTGCCAGGGGGGGATATAGGCTTATTATTGAAGTTAGACCAGAAGCCTTTCCTCATGCAACCTTTCCTGCTTCGACCTTTTTTCAGCCCGCGATCGTCAGAAAGACCAGAGGTCCCATCTTCATGCAGCCTAACTAAATTGGATAAAATTTGGATGTTTGGATACGACATCTGTGGGAAAACCGGTAAACCCACAAATGAAGAATAAATTTTTGTGCATTTGCTCCCTATAGGTATTGAACTAGGGACATACATTTGGCAACCTGGGAGCACTACCCACTGTGCTATAGATCCACAGGTCTCAGATTTTGATCTTATTAAAATCTTTAAGTCTTAATCCTATATATTAAGGAAACAATATATTATTTCTATAAATTATATCTAAAAACTTTGGTTATTGATAGATAAGTTAGATTAAGAAGATTTATACTTTGTATGTATTTTTATATTTGTAATAGTTTTATAATTTAATAAATAAAATAATATCAGTTTAATTATAGATTTAAAAAAAAAAATCAAAAAAAAAATAATTTTAATTTTAATTTTTTTGATTTTTTTAATTTTTCAAATAATTTATAGGTTTAAGAACAATAAAATATAGATAAAAAAATCTTTTATTTTAAATTAATTAATTAATTTATTTATTTTTTATTTTAAAAAAAATTTTTTTTTATTAGATAAGATTTGTTTTAAATATTCAAGTTTACAAATAATAATTTGATTTTTGATTTAAAACTATTTGATAAAATAATTTTAAGATTAATAAAAATTTTATATTATTTATTTATTTTTATTTTTTTTTTGTTGCAAATAGGCATTAAATATAGACTTTAATTTTATAATGTTTATACTTATTTTGAAAATTATTTTTTTAATAAAAATTGAATACAAAAATTTTGAAATACAATATATTTTATATTTTTAATATTTTTAAACAATTAAAATTAATAATACTGTACTAATCACAAATTTGTCAATTTTCAAATATATATTAAATAAAATATATTTTTATTTTATTTTATTAAATAGTTATTAAATAGTGGATAAAAATAAATATTTAATTTTGATTAAAAACCTTTCTTAATATGCTACATATTTAATAAAGTATTGTAATAACAAATAAATAACCTTTAAAATGGTTAAATTATTACTTGATAAATTTATCAATTTGACATATTTATACTGTACGATTGCAATTGAAAGTTTAATTTAACTATAAAAATTCGAATATGCATATTGGAATGGAATCAATCAACTTCTGCATTACTATTGTAATTTCCAACCTGCAAATGAACTAAAAGGTATTAACCTGGAACCTTATAACCAAATTCCTTCAGGAAAATCGCAGCTAAGCATCTTGATTTTAGCAAATAAAATGGTTATAAGAGGAAACGCGCGAATCTTAGCTATCTGGAATGTTTGGTACCACATACCACCTTTTAAACTCCGCATATGATATAATAGAAATAAATGTGCACCTATATCATCCACCTTTTGTTAATGCGCCGCATTAACACTCCAGTATAAAATTATACAACGCTTGTACATACGTGCGTACGTACCAACTCTTTCATGTTTTCCCAATATAAAAAAAATTTGTTGACTCGATCTAGAGATTCTATTTCGTCAGATTCGTCACAGGGAACTGGCGCGGCTTTGTTCTTTTCAGTTCCTAACTTACAGCCAGAAGCCGAAATCCTTGAATCTATATCATTACAAACTTCACATGTTCAACATTATAACCAATATGACGAAGAAGACGAATACCAAGGATCCGAGCCTGAAGCCGCATTCTTAGCAGGTGTCCCAAATGAAAGTGGCCAAAATAAACAGGTTGATTTTGATATATACTAAAGAAATTAAAGTTTACGAATGTAATAACGAATGACTTCTTTTTTTATTAAGACACCGGCAGACATATATCAGGATACACCTATACATATACCTAGAGTATCAAACAATTCTCTCATCGAAGGACTCCTCCCCTCTACTTCCGTAAGTTTTCTTTATGTCCTATTGTTCAACGTAGAATTACTTCTAAAAATATATTATACGTCTTATTTCAGATCCCTCCAAAATTGTCGTCCGGAATTGCACACCGTAAATTTAGAGATCCATTTTTTTCGGTCTTATTCATTCTAGGATCAGTAGCAATGATCATAAGTGGCATAGTATTATTGTGCACGACCAGTGTAAGAATTCAACAACATCATCTCAAATCCGATAATTTACTAATATATTTAAAATTGATCTAAATAGTCATCTCCATTAAAAGACTATCAAGGTGGATCGGTATTCTTTGCCATTCGAGACAGCACGGGTACGTGATTGTCGGCAATTTTCACGGATGTTAAATGAAATCCATAGGTGTTTGTATCGACAATAAATTTCTTTATTATGTAGGCCCTTTCATATTTGCTATCATATTCTCCATATTTGTTGGCTTCATATGGATATCTTTACTTC